GTTCGTAATTTTAAGGCGACGGGAGCGCTCCTAGCGACGACGACACCACTACTGCTATATAAAATATTAAAGATGCACAAGCCGGTTTTATAACGTCTTGTATATGTCTCCTATGTAACCTTAAGTTCTCCACTTTGTCATTATAATTTATTTAAATTTTACATTATTAAATATACCATACTCGTCCTTTCTTTCCGGTACTTTTTCTCTCAAAGCGTATTATCAACTTGGAAAATTTACCGTCTTTCGCTACGAAAACAGTCGTTTCTCGGATTATTTGACATTTTCTAATTAGACGCTACGGAGCGAGTTCTGTCTAGTGAACCGTCGAACTTAGATGAGATTTATTGTTCTTAATGTGCCTCATGGGAGCTTTAAATTAAATAAACGCTACTCGACAGGCAAATTTCTCACGTAAATCATCTGGTTGTCTCAGTTTGGTTCCTCAGTTAAAACGAAGCGAACTTTCGTTACAAAATTTACCTTTTTTAAAGTCTCTTTAATATTTTAGTTACAATCAATTGAATTAACCATCAAGTATTCATAAGTTTATTGTAAATAATAAATAATTTTCAACCAAACCTACATTTAGCGTTATCGTTTACAAACCGCAAACATTTTTATGATTAACGATAAACTCGATTTTCCATTGCAGTTGGACTAAAATATATCCCTAATAAATAAATTCAAAAATATTTGCAATACTAAATTTACATTGATAGCTGAAAAGTGTTTTTAAATAATCGATATTTAGGTTTCGATATTTATTTTATGATAACTCCTCTATGTTTGTAACGTTTAATTTGTGGTATTAAATATAACAGGTGTCCGACACTCATTGAATAAATCAGAATGCAAAAAAATGAAAATAAAAAATGATGTGTACAATAACCATAAATTTTTGTGTTTCAAATCATATTGCAAGTTATGCAGAGAATTCTTTTATCCCACCCATGCTAATATGGTGGTCTTCCTGTAGTGTAACCTTTTATAGATAATGTATCCGAAGAGGAAGGTAAAGCTACTCTAATTGTAAGAGAAGAACTTGCAGGAGAAGAAACAGAACACAGAGAAGAACTATCAGGAGAATAGTCTCACTTAGAAAGCGACGAAGTCTTTCTAGATAAGAATAAATGGTTAAAGATTCCAAATAACATTGTAAGAACAAGATGAGAGAATATTATAATTAATTTGTCTGGTGTGAAGGGAATTGCACGACACAATAATACGCTCTTGATAGTTGGTTGCTATTCTTTATAGAAAATATGTGGGACGACACGACTTCTCGGTATGGTGCAAATTATCAATATTTGACCAAAGAAACTGATAGAAAAGAAATTAAAGTCAAGACAAACCGGCAAAACACTTCTTCTGATCTTTGGAATATTGATGATGGTGGTATACACTTGTTTCGTACAGTATCACAACAAAGATAACATATACTAAAATCTCTGGTATTTGACAATATAGAGAATAGAGACACGCAGTAGTTGACACCAATTGGAGGGATCTTTGGTCATATTTAAAGTTTTAAGGCATAGTATGTGGAATATCTAACAGTTAACGAGAAGAGTAAGGAGGACATTCAGAGGACATGTGCCATTCCTTCAGTACCATATAGGTACTGATCCAATAAATCTTCCTTGTTTAAGAGTATTCGCTCTTGTCGATGAAGAAATATATTGATGGTTTAAACATGAAAGTTTAAGTTGGCATTCAGCTAGCGGCTTTTCCGAAAAAGTAACCACAATGTGTACTTTAACTTTTGACTGAGCTAAAAGAAACTTATGATCAACCTGCTCAATAGCATTAACTCACATCGATTAGAACCATCGTTCTAATCGATGTAAGCTGATGAGCTTTGTTGCGAACTTTCTATCATGGTGTACATTTTTATTCGGCCCATTCATTGTTTTATACATAACTATAACAAACACTCAAAAATTTTTAAATTCTAGTTATCACGAACTACAGATACTACGAAATACAGATTACCTGTTTTTCATTCTTATTATAATAAAATAAATAATAATTAAGCATTTTTTGTTATAGGAACGATGTGTCTGTTATGAAGTAGACTGATTTAAGCCTAAATCATTTACAAGATTCCCCATTTTTTCAGTCGTACGTAAATATTACTAATCAGTTAATTCGTACTTATAACGTGTCAATGATCTCCAGCAAGACACCCAGCTCCTAACTGCCATCATCGACTGATAAGTAGGGATTTGTTAGCCATGCCGACAAGCCTCTATAAGTATATCAGCAGTTATAACGCTTTAAGTTAGCAAAGCACATTATCGACTAGCACTATGTATTATTAATTACTTATAGAACTATGTTGGAAACGAAAGCAGTTTGAAAACGTCACGATGCTACAAGTTTATAGTTCGCAACTTTTACACGTGTTCGTATGAAACAGAACCAGCAAACCGCCCAATGAAGGTTAGTGGTGGTAGGTTATTGATGTTATTCGTGAATCTGTTGTATTCTTTTTAAANTCCGTGTTGTCACTGAGCAAGAGATCGCAATTTGGCAAAAACCCTGACGAAGTGCCTGCGTGCAAGATTGTAAATCTTTTTCCTTCGCCTTCTGCTCTTTGCGGAATACCGAATCTTTCATTTTCATTTACCCATTGATAAACTTGGGTGCCATTTTCGTAAATCCAAGTTTCGTCAAGAAAAACAAAAGTATACTCTCCGGATTCTAGGTATTGCAAGTATGTCTTTAAAAATGTAATTCTTTTTGAAACTATATGTGGTTGTTCAATTAACACTTTTCTATTGCTAATCTTTTTATATCTATATCCCCTAGATTTTATAATTTTATGTAATTTTGATCTACCATTAGTAAAATCACATTCATTTCTTGCAAAATTAAGTAAATCATTAAGATTAAAATACTGTTTCTTTTCATGCAATTTTTGTATTTGTCTTCCTAACTCTTCTTTAATAAAATATAAATTATTATCCGTTTTGTAGTTCATTTTACAACGCCCTTGTGTTTTTGGTTTTTTTACAGTTTGATATTTTTTGTAGGTTTGAATAATTTTAAAAACCGTCGTGCTGTGAACCTAATACAATTATGTTGAATGTAAATTTAATTTTAAAACTCAAGTGCAATACACATACATCAAAAATACGTGAAGCTTTCTCACATATATATTTTAAATTCGTATTTGGTGTCTCCGTCTGTACTTCTTCACAATACCTAATTATAGAGTTTTTTTCGCGTTTAGACAGTTGACTTCCCGTTCCACCCTTTCTTAACATTTTTATGGTAGATTTAGCAGCAAAAAAATTATATGAAAATTATTTTTTAATCAATCTTAACAAATTTGATAGACAGTGGTGGCACACAATTAAAGTAAAAGTCACGACATGCGCTTTTACTTTCAATACCAACTTGACGACACTTTGACAATTGATTTAAATAAAAAACAGATTATAGAAAATATGTGGGACGACACGACTTCTCGGTATGATGCAAATTATCAATATTTGACCAAAGAAACTGATAGAAAAGAAATTAAAGTCAAGACAAACCGGCAAAACACTTCTTCTGATCTTTGGAATATTGATGATGGTGGTATACACTTGTTTCGTACAGTATCACAACAAAGATAACATATACTAAAATCTCTGGCATTTGACAATATAGAGAATAGAGACACGCAGTACTTGACACCAATTGGAGGGATCTTTGGTCATATTTAAAGTTTTAAGGCATAGTATGTGGAATATCTAACAGTTAACGAGAAGAGTAAGGAGGACATTCAGAGGACATGTGCCATTCCTTCAGTACCATATAGGTACTGATCCAATAAATCTTCCTTGTTTAAGAGTATTCGCTCTTCTCGATGAAGAAATATATTGATGGTTTAAACATGAAAGTTTAAGTTGGCATTCAGCTAGCGGCCTTTCCGAAAAAGTAACCACAATGTATACTTTAACTTTTGACTGAGCTAAAGCTGGAATAAACCGCAATATTACTTATGATCAACCTGCTCAATAGCATTAACTCACATCGATTAGAACGATGGTTCTAATCGATGTAAGCTGATGGAAGCTGATGAGCTTTGTTGCGAACTTTTTATCGTGGTGTAAAGTTTTATTCAGCCCATTCATTATTTTACAAATAACTTTAAGAAACACTCAAAAATCTCTATAGTCTAATTATCACGAACAAATTCAGATTACCTGTTTTTCATTCTTATTATAATAAAAAAAATAATAATTAAGCATTTTTTGTTATAGGAACGATGTGTCTGTTATGAAGTAGGCTGATTTAAGCCTAAATCATTTACAAGATTCCCCATTTTTTCAGTCGTACGTAAATATTACTAATCAGTTAATTCGTACTTATAACGTGTCAATGATCTCCAGCAAGACACCCAGCTCCTAACTGCCATCATCGACTGCTAAGTAGGGATTTGTTAGCCATGCCGACAAGCCTCTATAAGTATATCAGCAGTTATAACGCTTTAAGTTAGCAAAGCACATTATCGACTAGCACTATGTATTATTAATTACTTATAGAACTATGTTGGAAACGAAAGCAGTTTGAAAACGTCACGATGCTACAAGTTTATAGTTCGCAACTTTTACACGTGTTCGTATGAAACAGAACCAGCAAACCGCCCAATGAAGGTTAGTGGTGGTAGGTTATTGATGTTATTCGTGAATCTGTTGTATTCTTTTTAAAGTAAAAGGAGGGAATACAGAAGTTAGATCATATAAGAAATATCGCTAGATGTTTTTGTCGGTAAATTTAAATTCACATTTATTATTTATTAAAAATAACCTAATCATATTGTATATTATTATTGGATAATATTTTTGTTTTGTATATTATTGTAAAAAGCATAATAAAGTTACAAGCTTTGTGTGCAACTATTGGTAACTAAAAATTTTCCAACGTACAACGTAATTTTTATAAAATTATTTTAACTTTTGTTTTTAAAGCACAAACATGTGGGCATAATTACTAGAAAATCAAAGCTTCTATCAAAAGTATTGAGAATATTTATGTCAAATTACAAATAACTTAATACTTAACACTAACTTATTTTTGCTAAAATTACAACGATGGTGATATAGATTTTCAAACATACGTTAAAATTTCGAAATCGTAAAGTCTTTGTAGTGTACCGTCGTTATTCCAAATTAATAAACTTTTTAGCCCGGTAAGGTCAACCTTTCCAATTCGCCATTCAGTTTGATGAAAAGCCCTTCCAATATACCAACGTAAGTTGCTTTGGTAACCTCCTTCTACTAATCTATGTACTAAATTTTTCGGGATATTACTCACATCTATGTATTCCCACTTAAATCGTAATGGATTTTGAGAGCACAATATCTAAATAAAAAAATTAAAAATAAGTGTTATAATATAATAAGTGTTATCTAGATATCAAAAATAATGTGGGATTAATTACTTTTATGTCATTGGTTTTTTCCTTTTTTCCATAATGTTCTGTAACAAACTTGGCAGCTGTCGGATATATTGTTCCCGGAGTTAAAATACCATCAAGAATACTTTGACCAACATATAAACCGTGTCCAGCGGGTACGGCGTCAATTGGAACGTCAATATTGTACTCACGCCAATAGATATCTCGTCCATTGGCTATTAGAAAATTAATTAATTATCAGCAAATAAAGTAGACTAATTTTCATTTACCATTTTCGCATGTTATAATTAAGAGAAATCCAATTGGAAGTATGTATCTAAATAAATAAACATTACTTAATAATTACAGTGTATAGTAAAAAAAATTAATTTGAATTATGCTTTACCTCCACATGTTTTACAAACTGAAAAATAGAGAATATATTGACAACGTATTATTTGAGGTTAAAATGGTAGATAAGAAAGTCTTGATAAAAGGTTAGGGTCATAAATAAGTGTTTGATACTGATTTATCGTACATAGGAAGCATTGTTTTATAGCAATATTTTACATTAATTTGGAAGTTACCATTCTTAGATCTGTATGATAAATCTAATCTATCTATAATCTTTAAAAATTGAAACGAAAAATGCGCAACAAAAAATAGTAAAATATTCAGCACACAATTATGCTGTCTTTCTCTTCTTCCCAATGTTCTAACCTTCCGCAATCTTTATCAACATTTACAATTACTTCTTTCATTATTTCCACAATTCTGACGATACAAAATCTTATGCATTTAAAAGTGACCTAGTTATTACATAAACTTGAAAAAAGTTAATGTCCAATAACACACAACTATCTTCTTCAATAATTGTGCAATTTCTTCAGTCAGCAACCCTTTTTTTCAAGAATGCACCACATATCAAACCGCATTGTATACTTTTTTTCAAAATGGTATTTTATTTCTTTGAGTATACTCCAGAGAATTGTAACTCACAGCGAAATCGGCTTATAGGTGCGTTAAAATGCTCTTTAATCATTGACTCGCACTTTTTCAAATACTTAAACGTTTCTCTTTTAGCTTTCAATGCATGAACTATATGTGCATACGCACCTTCTACCCTGAAAAACAACTATTTTAAGAATCTTCTTTGAACACTCCTAATGCAGTGCCTAAATAAGTATATGCGTAGTGCAATTTCGACAATATAAAGACACCAAATAATCTTGGAATATAAATCCTAGCACGAGAACAGCGAGTACACCAAGAATTTGGATAATACTTCCAATTGCATACTATTATATTAAAAGGAAGTCTTAAGGAAATACGTTAACAAAATTGGTAAATTCAAAGTTGTAGCGAGTATCTTTACAAATCTTCTCTTTAAATCTAATACAAGGAATGAGCATGTGAATTGATATTATTTTGATCTAATACATTATTATGTTGCTGTAAGTCCAGAAAATTGTAGAAATTAACAAATGACTGCAGCTTAATGTAAGATAATCTAAACTTATCCCCAATAAGTGCAACAAAAGCTACATAGTAAGCAGTGATAATTCTGGTTCATATAAAGCCACCACATAGAAGTGAAATTTTCTTCTGCCAGCATTAGTCCTCTCCGTACTTTAGCTCGGTTTACAAAAAGTTATCATTTCAATTTGGCACACGCTGCATGTTTCCAATTATGTACACAACAAGCGACCTAACGTCTTCCATCACATCATCCTTCCATCGTTTCTTTGGTTTTCTTCTAACTATCTGTTTCTGTGGCGCCCATTCTGCAATTCTGTTCATCCCTCTGTCTCCTTTCATTCTTTTCCAGATGCCCCAGTCATGCTATTCTCTGTACTTTGTTATGTCGTATTATGTCTGCGTTATCTATGAGCAGGCCCAATTCATGATTCATTCGTAGTGACCACATTCCAGTACCATAGTGTATCGGTCTGTATTTCGATTGTCTATCTAGTATTTTACTCATCATTACTAATTAGTAATTACCGCTAAGTATTCTAGCCTCGACTTCTCCAGTGATTTGTTTCGTTTACTCTGGATCTCAAATATATGAAGCTCTGTAGTCGTTTAAACGTGTAATTTCCTATATCAAGGTGGTTTCTTTCAAGGTCTTGTGAAGTTCATACTTTTGAGGTTTCTTTTGTGAGTTGAGAAATATTTGCTATTTATATATAGAGGCATTGTAGTTTTTACAGTTTAATTTGCAAGAAGTCGAACAATACTTTTCAGTACAAGCAGCGATCAATAAAAACAGAAAAAGATACTAATGCAAGTATGCCGTTCCTTGCTAAACACTTAGCTGCTAACATACTCTTAAACGAAATTTTATTGGAATGAGGAGATTCTGTTAAAGATATCAAACAGCCGCTACCTTAAGGTAAATAAGTAAAAAGAACGAAGATATCTGCTTATAGACTTATTTTGTATGTTGATGTTGAAATAAATCTCTGTGAGTCTTTAAACTTACTTAATTTTTCATGTTGAAACGCAAAGTATCGTCAATTGCAATGGATTACAACGTTTTTACAACGTAAAAAGTCCATTGCTTTTATTCCTCACCTAATTGAACACTTGAAAAGATCTTTCAAATACAAAGCAGTAACCTTTATTTTGCACATTACAAGGTGTTTATATTTTAAGTGGATTCCCGGATAACGCGTCTTTCAGGTTTCTTGACTCATTTTATTATTGTACGTTTCTGTTTGCTTTTCTTGTTTGCTTGTGTTTGTGCATGCTGTTGTTTCATATTGCTTTGTTGACGAGCTATCGAAACTCAAAAAATATTGATGTAAGAAGTAAAAATATGCGGTTGTGTTAGAAAAGGGAGATGTTACGTGAAAAGACATCTAATTATTGAAATCAACAAGAAGGATTTTAACGAAATATTAACCTAAGCATAATTACTTCAGGGATGCATTAAGGTGTTACTTTTATTCACACCCTCAAAATGTTTGTGAATATAGTTACAACGATCGCTCGAAAATCATTGGCTTTACTGCTCATATTGATCCTCATCAAAACGACACTTCTAAGATTAACATTTTTTTTAACCAATTCCTCTCTGTATGTAATAAATATTTTACCTTAAATACAATATCACAATTGTAATCTTAGAGAATTTAATAATTAACACTTGATGACATAAAGATGTTGTCATAGAGGATTAACAATCTCAGAGGATTTCCGAAAAAAGCGTTCTAGGAGTAGGTTTAGAAAAAGGAGAGGTTGATCGACATTTCCCATGTCGTCCTCCCAGCCACGATCGGCGCTAAGTGGTAAGATTAGGAGGATTTAAGTAGGATTGCCTTGATCACCGTAGATAATTCAATCGATTCGGACGTTCCCACAGGAACGGGTGTCCGGCTGAGAATGTTCAGTTCGCGTGCGACCCGTTAGACTGGCGAGCAATTGAAATTTGCATGATCGTGCCGAGTAGATTGCCGGTATTTAGATAGGACACCGATAGCCGTTGAGAGGCCTTAATTAAGACACCGTCCGTAACCATTACAAATCATAACTTATCTAATGATAGAATGTTCGGCGATAATCATCTTAGTAATGATTCTAAATAATAATTTTCAAAACAAATATCACCGATTTTATAAACCGAAACAAAAACGAAAAATTACAGAATAAAGAAGATTTTTTAAGTATTAAACCCGAGATTATAAGGAAAAGATACATGTTTTTATTTAAAATAAAATTTATTAAGAGTGTCAAATAGTATAATGAGATGCTAAGACCACCAGTATATTAGAATAAAAGCCCTCTCGAAAATTCCAGTAATCTTTCTGATCTCGTTCTTTTTTTCTTGGAAAATAAGGGAAGCTTTCTCCTTAGAGAAAAGAGAAAAGAAGGGATGTGTACCGTATAATTTATTATTATCAGGAGTTCATCCAAAATTTACTAGCTTACCCACAATGTACAAAGCAGAACTTATGCGCTGTGATTAACTTTTGCTAAAAAGAAACTGTGGTTCTTTACTGGTTCTAAAAGAAAAAATAAAATAAAAGAGAAGAAGCTGATTTTTTTCTACAGAAAAAATCCAAATTATTTCAAGATCTGTAAGTGTTTATTTATTTACCGTGGAAATTAAACGATTCATCTATGTCGGGTAGTATCCTTGATCTAAACTGTTTTGTTTCTACTGTTATGCAAGACATTTAATTAACCTGCCCGGTTAACGAACACTCATCGATTTCCTTACGTTCACAGAACCACGTAATTGGCCGTAAATAGCTTGCTCTCGACGTGCTCTACTTTGGTACGTTGGCTGCATAATAAATTGCATAATTAATTGTTGAGTTGATCGTGTATGACTCATATAGTCCCAACTTCTTTTTTCCTATTACAATCGTAAATAACAATTAAATGAGCAAAGGGTATAGATCGATATCTAACCTCATTGGTCATTGATTGATAACAGCTATTATAGTATACCATAGATGGTGTTGGTAATTGAAGCAATTGTTAATTTATTGCTTAAGCGTAAGCTAATATAAAAAAATTAATGTTTAAAGAATGCCGAAGGCATTTTAATCTGAATGTTGAAACAAATCGAATGATTGTTTAAAGATAAAAGCAGTTTAATTCAAACAATAGAAAAGCACAGGTATTTTCTCAATGGAGCTTTTTCTCTCTGAACCCGGAGAGGATTTGGTAGAGCGGATTTCCAGTACGTTAAATACGCTAAACGAAGTGCTAAGGAGCGAATTTCCATTAGCCTGAGTGTCTGCGGGTCCTTTCAAATAAAGACGTTATCTCGTCCTCCCAAATTTGTGTGCTCAATAGATTTCGCTGAAGCAGGGAACGCGGAACCCCAGTTTCCGACCCGAAATCGGTATATTAATTAGTGGCTCCGGCCGGATATGCATCTCGGACTCAATAAACATGCGTTCGCCGGCCAGAAACTTGCTCGGATCAGTAAATTAATTACCGCGGATCGAGCCTACCACCACGCCGACCGCACAAAGCCCTAATTAAAATATCGGCATATTAAATGGCGTGAGTGCAGGTGTTGAAGCTTGTGCTCGAGGTGGATGATGAAAACACCTGACAAAGCCACGCCCAGTCAAACCCGACTGCAGTTGGATTTTCGACTAGAGTACAACACACAGAGGATCAATTCGATAGCTAAAAGCAGCCGAGACAACCCCTGGTTTTAGGAGTGCGTATCGATTAGCTGCAGAGGTTTTAATTGGAACTTATTGTTTTCGTTTGACAATTAGATGATTACGTCGTCGACATACATACGTAATCATATTAAGTGTACCCTCAATTTTCAATTAATACCATTTGAATTTGAAAAAGAAATCTAATAAAATGACAACATAACTGTATGGATTAAATATACTTCATAAAAGTTCCTTATGTGGATGATTACATCAAAGTGTTCGCGCACGATATACGAGGTATTTATCAATGCCAACCTTGGCCACTTCACATTTTTCGCTTTTACCCAATTCACGACGGCATCGC